GTGGGCTGGGGCTGGGGCTGCGCCAGGCTCTTTCCATTGGGGGCTGTGCCAGGCAGTGTTCACAGTGGGTGGTAGCACTGGGAGGGGGGAGAGGCTGCAGCCCCCCCTCTAAGTATTGCCACCACCTGCCCTGAGAGCAGCCTGGCCAGTCCCCCTCCAGGAAGAGCCCAGCACTGCCCTGGCCCCAGCCCACAGTGGCAGCCCACCCCACACAGATCTGGGGGCATATGCCTGCCATCCCCCTCCCTTGGGGTGCACACAACAGGAGAAGCTGCCCTGCGTGCCCCCAGACAAGCTGCAGCTCTGTCTTGTGCCTGCCCTGGCTGGACAGCACCAGCCCCACTCCCTCTCTCACCGCAGGGGCCTTTATCTGCCCTCCCATGCTTCTTCCCTCCCTCCCTCCCTCCCCTTCCACCACAACAGACTTACAAGCTGCATACAGCTCTCCATGCTGCTAGGCTGTGTATCCAAAACTGGACTGATACTGGTCGATATGTCTCCTTAAAAACTGGCCGCTGGTATTGGCCACAAAAATCTCTATTGGTGCACCCCTAGTTATAACAAAGGTCCTATTATCACCCTATAGTCAAATTCAACATGCCATTTGCTCCCTGAATATTGAGTACCACCCTTTGCTAGGCTACTGAAAATAAGAAATCCATGCTATCTGGGTAGACATGCACTAGATAAAATGGCAAAATAACAGATTACGTGTATGGTTTAACTCAGTGGGGTCCAATCTTCTTGGCAGTCATGCCACAAATGAAACCCCATGTCCTTCTCAACTGCCATTTTGATCCCTTCCCTGCCAGAGTTGCTACTCTACTTTCTACTCCCTGCCCCCTCCCTCAATTTGCCAAGTGCCATGTACAAAGGCTGCCCATGCAACTTGTGGCACCTATGCTACAAGTTGTTCACCCTTACTTTAGCTAGTTAAAAATCATAAACAGTTTAATGTGTTTGTAGATCTCAGAAGAAAAAAATCAGCAAGAAATATGGCTGATAACAACAACAGATTAGCTGAAGTGTAATTCTAAATAACAAGCCAGGCATATACTATTTGTTTGGCTTACAATTTTCATGTGAACATTTAATAGGCTGTAGCTATAGCTTAAATATTAATTTCTATCTGCTAATTATTATCATTATTTTACTTCCCTGGAAATAGAGAAAGCAATTACTGACAGATAAATAAATAAAAAAATAAATAAAGCCTTGCGAGTTTATTGCATAATTACCAGTTTCAAGGAAGTGTTATCATGAATGTTAGAGGAATTAGCAGTTTTCCCGAAGTCATCTGAAGGTGCTAATTATTTTCCAGAACCACTCAAAACACAAGAGCGTATTTTGCTGGCCCACTCTTGATTAAAGAACATGGTCATTCACTTACCAATGATTTACTGGAGAGCTTGGAGATAAAGGATCTCCTCCCTCCATTCTTAAGTATTAGGAACAGAATTGTTAACCCATCAGTATTGGCCAGGATGATATAGTTGGGGATGGTCCTCCTTTGAGAAGGAGGCTGGACTAGATAAGGTCCCTTCCAACCCTAACTTTCTATGACTACATGATTAGTAAAATCTGCAAACTAACTGAAGATGACAGGGTAGTACTGAGTACAAATGAGGGCAGTATATGACCAGCAGAATCACTGGTGATATGAAAGAGAGCAGGTCCATCTTGCTGCCCATATTTTAGATGTTTGCTGAATTGCTAGACAATAAAAACCTTCAAACCTATTGATAACATGCTATTTTATAACCCAGAGGAAAAGAAAACAAAAAACCCTAAAAAAAACCCCATAAAAAAGAACCTAAACTGGCATATGCACAGAATTATTTTACCAAAAGAACTACCATTTCAATGTTGAAGTCAAGCTAGTAAGTTTTAGCAATGAACTATTTGACCCTAGACATAAGGGCAACCTGATAATCTCTTTTGGAATTTACTAGAGACTAGCAGAGAACCACAACATTTACATAAGTGCGCACACATTTTGTTCTTAGATGTCCGTTTGGTTTTTTTTTTTGGTTTTTTTTTTTAAAAGGAAACCTTACAGTGAGTCAACCATGATCATTTCTATTTCATGAATGAACCCAAATTTGCATAATAGAATTTTGTTCCCAGTGAAGAAACAAATAAAGGAAAATAGCTGTTTAATAAAACAAGTGCTTTAATTTTATGAAGTTGGTAAAAACAATTGATATGGCTTGTAAATCTTGCAACAATCACTCATTTCCACAGCCATTAAAATATACATTCCTCTTTCCACATTCAACTATGAATTTTGAAAAATGTCCAATATTTGCTTAGAAGCAAACCCTGCTAGAATTTCTCTCTGGGGAAAGGAACCTGTAGAAAGAAGTCATGTTGGAGAAGTACAGCAGATGGCAATTCTTACCGTAATATTTCAGTAAATATTCTGTCTCATAAAATATATATATTTTGAACATTCTCTGCTTAAAGTACATCATCATCGTCATCATCTTCCTTTGCAATGAAGTGGAGCTTTCTAAACTCTCTTCTGCTCATTGCGGTGCATGGGAGTGCAGCTGCTGGCAGGTCCTTTAAGGAAGGATAATGAATTAACAATAATAATTTGCTGCAATTAGAGCACCCCTCCCATACAACCTAATTATTCCCATTACTTTTCAAAAGTTCCATAACTGGAGTATGCCAAGTCAGTTATAGTCGCCCCTGCACTTCTTACAGGTGACTCTATAACTCTTAGAGAGCAGCAGTTTTGAGGTTTATCTGGCTCACTACTTGGGCCAACTACTCAGGCTAACAGCAAGACACATTTGCCCCAGCATATGGTGCCTCTTGTTTCTTTTGGGAAGGAAAAAAAAAAGGCATCCAGGGCTAGCTGCTGTTTAGAAGGAGCTTGCCCCAGAGTCTCAGTATGATGGTCAAGAATTAGTCACCATTAATAAAAAAAAAAAAACTGACATGTTTTCTTTCCCGAAGTTACAGGGTGATGGTAGTAGAGCTAGAAAGAGAACTCATTGTTCTGTCTCCTGCTGGGGTCCAACAGTAGAACTTGTCAGAAACCAAACTGTTTCAAGAGATATTCTTGAAAACGTGGCTGGGCATCACTGTAACACTGCTTTGATTAGGTAAAAACCTCCCAATTCTTATCTGCCCGCCATGTAATATGGTATATGGATTCTACTTGTATAGGTATCAAATAAAAAAAAAAAA